TAAGACACAACTCCCAGCCTCAAAGAGCTTCTGATAGACCTGGAACACTGGACAACTGTTAGAGAAAATGATGTTACTAAATGCTAAAGAAGTGTAGATTCTCAGCCGAGTACTTATAGTTATTACTACTATTAGGCCAGACCGTTCATAAAACAGTCTCTTCATAATACTGGAGGAATCAAATTAATGCATTAGAAAGTGGGAAGAAACCCTACAGGTAATTTACAGTGAACAATAGATATGATTTGTGTGGCGAGAACCCTCTCAACACTGAAGGAGCATGACTACAAATGTAATGGCCAGTTTCAGGACCCCCTGAGTCATGCTCCTACATTGTACCCCCATTAGCCTTGCACCTCCAGCCCAGGTACCCACACCGGTTGTTCCGCTGGGTTGGACAAGTCATTCATGAGTTACTGAGCCGTCATTCTATGCCACACCCTGTGTTAGGTGCTATGGAATTACATGAGAATAATACATTGAACTTGTCAAAGAGACGCTCAGGAAGCAATTAAGATAGTAAAATATTGTAGTAGGAAATGTGTATTTTCAACACTAACATCTTATGATTCCTAAGATTATTTTGAGTCACAATGAGCTCCATCACACCATCCTCTACATTTAAACAGAGGAGAAGCCTGAGTATCAAAGAAAAAAAGTCAACTCTGAGAGCAACATACAAATTGAAGATGGAAATAAAAAGAGTACTAAAGAAATCGCTGCTTTCTGCATTCTTTCATTCCTTAATTCATTCCTTCAACAAATATTACTATTTAAGTATAGTGATGAATGAGATAGGCGAGCTCTCATGGAGCACATTCTTTATTCTTCAAGCAGACAATATTACATTGTGTACCTACTGATCTAATTGGCAGCTCTGTGTGTGTGCATGTGTGGGTGTGCACACAACTAGGGAATAATATTAGGATACTTTCTGTCTGGACGAGACACCTCATATATTTCCAGGTAAAACAGACTATTTCCAGGTTATCGGTTATTGGCTATCATCTCAGAGAGCAAAATCTGTATATCTGTTCCTGGAATACATATATTCATATTTATATTATTATATCAAAAGTATCTGTAGCAGAGCAGTTTAAATTTTCCAAATCACTTTCAGATACAACCCCCTTCTGTGCTCTTAAGTAAACAGGAGAGTCATTATTAGCACTAGTTTAAAACTGAGGAAATTGAAGTAACCAAGGAAAAATGTTACTTCAAAAACAAAAGTTTTTTTTTTATTAAAAAAGTAGGTGTGTATATAATACTTGGAATATAGAAGACATTCAATATATGCTTTTTGGTAAATATATGGTTTATGAAAGTGAAAGTTTAAAGGATCTTAGAAATCATCAAGCTCTACTCTGGAGGAGGGTCATGTATCTAATTAAGTGAAAAGCTGCATCTAGAACCCAGATCTTAAGACTACTCATTCATTATGTTTTTTCACCACATGAACAATAAATAGTTCTGGCATTTTTTTTCCAGCAGAAGTCTTGCCCCTTTTCCTCTGTGAACCACCTAGACTTTTGAAGTTTTCAGGACTAACCCAATTGGTGTACTTACCTTCCAGCCTCTATAAAAATATGTGAAAGTATGCCACTTTAACTAGAAATTGAGCGGAGCATAATCAGTAGCTGACTGTGAACCACCTAGACTTTTGAAGTTTTCAGGACTAACCCAATTGGTGTACTTACCTTCCAACCTCTATAAAAATATGTGAAAGTATGCCACTTTAACTAGAAATTGAGCGGAGCATAATCAGTAGCTGGGACTCAATTTGCTTGTAAGTTTGAGATTTGGCTCATGAGCTTGGGATCAGAGTAACTGGGACTGGGGTTGAAACAGGAAGACAGCTGATGGGAGATGGGTGGCCAGCAAGGCAGATTGCCTCTGGCAGTTATTGTCCCCAAAGTAAAGAAGAAGGGAATTGCAGAAACATGAGTCTGGGTCCCCCTAATCCGGCAGCCTGATATAGAAAATACCTGAACATCTTAAAAAGAAACAGTGGGACAATTTTGCCATGTTTTCTGGATGGCTCTGATTCCCTCATCACTTGCAATGTTCCATAGTACAATTTATTGGACATTTTGTTGCTCAAATTCCCTCAGCCCTATTATCGGATTCTCCTGCCATCCTTTTCTTCCTTCACCCTGCCTTGGCTTTCATTCTGCAAACATTCTAATTTCCTCCAACCAGTGATTAAATCTCAGTGAGAGGAAAGGGAACTACAGCAACAGTACAGCTTTCCACAGCATGGATTCCCTTTCTTTCTCCTCAGCTCCACCCACCATTTCCTCACTCTGAAGCTTCCCAGGAGAACAGTTTCTAACACAGCCTGATATAGCAAAGAAGGGGGAAGGGAAGAGGGACTTTTCCAATCAAATTTTCAAGCTGCTCTTAACACAGCAGAAAGGGGACAGATGCTATGCCTACTGGTTTGAAGAGAATCATGCTAAACCCAGCTTGCAGCATCTCAAAGATCACATCACCCCACTGACCTAGCTTTTACATAGCCAATGGGGAATACAGGCAAAGGGACACACAGCTGAGTGCACACACACACACACACACACACACACACACTATCAGTACCACACGGTAGGGAGATGAGGCTGAGAAAATAGTTTTCAAATACTAAATACTGGAAATATAGTCAACAGCAGCAACTTGCAACTCACCCAAAGCCATTGCAACCTTTCTGGGGGTTAAAAATAAGATTAGAATTCCTTTTGCTTTACTGCTGTGCACCAAAAGGGCAGATTTAGAGGAAAAGCCACATGCTAATACTGCAGGAATATCTTCACCCAGATTCCATGGTTTCACAATCGAGTCCATTGATTTCTCTTTAATATTGCCCCATTTGTATAGTAGGAATTAATGTAGAATGTAACAAAGAACATGTCACTGCTTAGTTTATAGCCAATATGTCCTCCAAATTCTTTCAACACGTAGAACTCATGGGGAGTGGTCAATTCAGAGGTTAAATTGTAGCTTTAGTTTCTGTTATTCCTGGAGAGTCAGCAGTCAGATACTATTAGTGAACTGCCACTCTCAACTTTAATTAATATGTTCTTTCCCTTCATTACCAACCGTTATTATAGACACTGAATATCCTATTTTCTGAATAGTTCTTTGAAATAGTTCCTTGAAATAGTTCTCCATATGGAGTGGACATGGGACCAACATTAGAAAACCTTTTGTCTTAGTCCGTTTTGTGGAGCTATAACAGAAAACCTGAGACTGGGTACTTTATAAAGAACATAAATTTATTTTCTCAGAGTTCTGGAGGCTGGAAAGTCCAAGATTAAGGGGCTGGTATCTGGTGAGGGTCTTCTGCTGCATTGTCCCATTGTGGAAAGATAGACAGACAGAAAGATAGAGATAGAGATAGAGATAGAGAGAGAGAGAGAGAGAGAGATAGAGAGAGAGAGAGAATGTGTGTGTGTGAGAGAGAGAGTCCACTCACCTTTTTTTTTTTTTTTAAAGAACCAGTACAAAGACCATTCTTTATTACAGTATTA